GCAATACATATGCAAGTATGACTAAGAAATCAAAATTCACATCATAATCTGAACTCTGACCACAACAAGTAGGTTTGGGTTTTGTCGGGTTTTTTTCAGTACATGTAATTAAATATATTTATATTTTTACAGTATTTTTAGACCATTCCTGAAGAACTTGACCAACCAGGTCCTCAGGTGTAACAGAGCTGTTACGTCAGCAGAACTTGACCTTGTAGGAACACATCCAGTGGCCCTTAAAGTCAACACGAATCATTTGTTTGGCTTCAAACAATGCTACATGGGGCCCGAACAAGCTCCGGAAAGATCGCCCTGCTAACAAGGAAGATTCCCTGGTGACATCAAAGCTCCTACCTCAGACTTCCTTTCCTATTGCCAAAGGGAAGGACTGGAGCAAAGGACACGTGGACTCTGGGCAAACTGGGTTGTTGGCAGGTGGCACTGGGAATGACCATGTAGAGCACAGCCCCAGGGAGTGGCAAGGTGAGCTTCATGGCACCTTTTGTACTAAGGCTTCTTGTGGAAAGCAGAGGAGCTGCTTCTCCACAGTCATTGCTTGGCAATTTGGTCACCACAGGTCTCAGACGTGAGCTGTGGCTGGGACCCCAAGGCATTAAGTACTTTGCAGACACAGAGGAACAGTCCCTGTTCTGGAGGGCTTGAGCCTATTTCTTAATTATATTTTTTTACATAATCTCCTTTGTATATACACATATTTGCTACATAAAATAGAATTACACCAATGTAATGTATATAGCAGAAAAAGTTGTCATAATATATGTATATTACCACACTAAATAATTACTAAAATGGCAAGAAAAATTTCAAAATGCCCTTTGTATTATATAAAAATATAGAAATGTCCAACGCTTGTTTCATCAACTTTAAAGGTAACTTTATCTCTCATATTCTATCTGTACACCTGCATATTTCCAAACAAAACACTGCGTTAATCTGGAGTAAACACCGCATTAGGATAATATCCTCCTAAGACATCTGACAGACTTAGTCACTACCTCACAGCACAGTATCACAAGAAATAACGTATACATGGTCAGAGTTACAACTACTCTTTTTTTTTTTTTTTTTTTTTTTTAATTTCTTATTCACTATCTTGTCCAGAAGAGGAAGTAATTCCTAAAGATTGCAAAAGAACCTGAACTCATGGCTTCCTGTCTTTTTCATATATGCTCTGTAACAAGGACATCAGCAACCTTGACTCCATCTTAACGCAGTTTTTTGTGGTGGAATTTCTTCTGGATTTTTGGAGTGTATATGAATTTAAAATAAAGATATCATAAATGAACTTATGTTTATATTAAGTAAATACTGTCAAATATAAATGCCTGAATTGCTACCTCAAGGAAAAGATGAGAAAGGTCTTATCATTAAATTCCAAAAACACTTAATGCTATCTATCAAACTGAAGGATCAAATTTCTTTAGGGGAAACAGAATTCCAGATTTAAATCCACTGTTAATTCCTACTAAATCAGTTTCATCTTATTTGCAGCCATTAAATAAATTAGTACAGTGCAGAAACAGAATTTCACCATTGATCCCACCTTACATGAAGAGGAGAATACTGCTTAGAAATAGAGGTCTAAATCAGATACATCATTATATGCTCAAAGTTTAACTGACATTAATCAGAACTTGCATTTTCACTTCAACGACAGTGAGTAAAGACAACCTGCTCTCTCCTGACTGTCTCACTGAGAAGTGGTTAAATACAGAACAAAAATATTGGACAGCCAGATTTTGAGCCAATACACACTGTCAAAAAAGCCAGCAAAATCAACTGCTGATCTCTTTTGACATTGGTTTGGACTTCTTACAGCTTACACCTTTCTGTGGCCCCTTCTACACCCAAGCCCTCATCAGAGTTGTAAACACACACAAATATCCAAGCATCTGAGGGGGGTATTTAAGCAGTTTACGATATGAAATGTCTATCTGAACATTTAAGATTGCTATAAAAGTTCTGCAGACTTTAATAGGAACAGAAATAGTGCTTCAATGCACATCATTACATTCAACCTGTCATATGCAAAATGTACTTGTGGGGGAAATAATGTTCTAATGACAGTTATGGTTTTCAGAATGGTCTTTTTAATACAGTTTTTATGGAGTCACCAAGAAACACCACAAAATTAAAAAAAAAAAATGCTCCTCCTCTTGGCATTAATTTGAGAAAAAAATATTTTACTGATATAACCAATGAATTAAATTTGTACTAACTGTACTTCTAGTCCAATCTTTATTATGTCCTTTTGGCCACTGTTTTATCTTTTTTATCAGCTGTTTTCTTGTTTAAATACACTAAACACACACTGATGTATGTTTTTCCCAAATCGCTGCGTTAAAGGAATACCTACAGTTAAAGGCTTTCCCTTGTCAAACATGCTTGAAGGGTAGCAGCCAATTGCATGTTATGGATGAAAAGCAGAACTGATAGACATACTGCGATTTTTGCAAGACCTAGTTTATGTAAACTTGATATGTCTCGGTTACTAAAGAAAACGGTTACATACTTCTAGTTTCTCAATCTATACACCTGTGGGCCCAAAATACACATGATCTAAATGCCACAGAGAGATTTCAGCTGAAAACTGAATTGTAGATTACAGACACTAAACCTAACATCACAGCCTTTAGAGAGACTGAATTGAAATATTTACCAAATCTCAAAGGGTAAAGTGCATTACAACTACATCTACTTCATGGGGCAGAAAATAAGGAATGCTAAAGATGAGTAGTGTGGCTAACAGGGACTACCCAGTATGTTTGCAGCATACACAAAACAAGAAGGCATTATCCCACCTGTAAAATGTAAGAGGGTAAAAAATTAGCCCTGGAAGTATGGCGTCTGACTTGTTAATATAATTAAGGCTACAGAAAGTTTAAATTTCAGTATGTTCTCAATTCTGGGGACCAGAGCTATGAAAACAACCCCTATGAAGTATTGTGAAACTTGCAACAACATAAAAAAAATTACTCAGATCATCCCTTGTATCTGATACTGTTCAGGATAAACAGGTAGCATAGCACACCAGAACTAAGGAGGGATATGGCTGGCTGTTTTGATTTTGGCAGGTCACTTAGGATCTACCTGGAGCCTCTGCTTCCCTGTTTGTCAGTTAAGAATATTACTTCCCTGCCTCACAAGTGTTTTAAGGGTCCAATTAATTATCATTTCTGAAACACCCAGACTATACAGATGAGGACCAGATATTTCTAGGCAGCTAGCTAGATCAAACACATTTGCCTCAAACCACATGCTACAGCATTAGTTCAGCTCACAAATTTAAGTGAGCTATAAACTAAGAACAATAATCACACCAGTATCATGAACCCAGTAAGTATTTTGCAGTATCTGGCAATTTCTCTTCAGTACAGACCAAGACTGGTCCATAGCATAAGGTGAGGCAATGGCAAAGATGTGACACCGCAGACCTGTACAATGTCTAGCTCTAGGTAGTCATTACCTTCTTGAGTACCAAGGTCTCCCCACAAGTCAACAGGTCTATCACAAGAGTATATGTAGGCTGCCTGTGAAATCATCAATAAGGGTTTTTTTTAGTCTCATTTAAGTCCCTCATAATGGCCTTGATGACTCTCACTTTTTACATGTGCAAATTATGTTCTTTGTGCATCTGGTATTTCAGTACCATACGGTCTGTAAAGAATAACGAAAGTCAGTGTGAAAAAGTTGCCTGATACCCCTTAATTGTATGGCAAGATGCATGAATTTCAGGTGCTACCACTGCTGCCACTACTGAATTGAGAGAAGACCAAAGAAAAAGTTAACAAAGGAACAGGAATACACTCAATTTAGAAGACTGAAAATAATTGTAGTTTTTTATAAAACTTCAATTCAAATATTGCATGAAGACCCTTAATTCCTTTTCAGATCTCCAAATGGCTTTTCTTGCATGTTTTTCCTCACTCACAGTACAAGGGTTATTTTACATCACACCAGTTCACACAAGTGTCAGTTCCTTTGCAATCACAGGCTCAAGAATAATCTCTGCTGCTGTTATTACCAAGGTGCACCTGCAATACTGCAAGATTTACAAAATTATTCAGAGTATTAAAAAAAAAAAAAAAAAAAAAACCACCAAAAAAACCCCCCAAAACTCCTGCTAAGGGTGCATCTGGCATATTTAACAAACAACATTCTACCTGGATATACCTGTAATACTGAGCAGCCATCAGTGTAACCAAATTCACCAACTGCAAAAGGAAAAGTATGCTTGTAGATAATGCTACCTTCAGATAATTTACTATGTATCTTTCTAAATTACAGTATCAACTATGGACACTCATGGCTAGAATGTTTAATTTTCTATAAAGAACTACTGAGTCCAGTACCCTGCCTCCTGTGTAACCTGTGTCTGATGCTTTAGAGGAAGACAATAACTGCATAATAAACCTTTCCAGTTGTGCAATCATGCATGCTGCTGGAGAGCTGGGATATCTCTGTTAGGCATAAGAAAGCAGAACACTGGACAAAGACAACCATTTGACCTTCAAGAGTCTTTCTCTGTCAAATGCAGAGAGTAAGACAAACACGTAAATGACCCTGAACAATAATTCAACCTATGTACAAAATTTTGACTTTTAAAACAAGACATTATGGAACAGATAAAAAAGAAACATACAAATGCAAAGAAAGGAAGGCACACTGAACTAAGAAATTACAAGAGAGCCTCAATTCATACAGCCAGCCTGTGGAATCCTTCACAGAAATCCCCAAAAGATTAAAATTCTGTCAGATTTCACAGGGATCTTGACACGTCACTCAGAATTCTCTTCTAGCAAAAGAAGCTTAAGGCTGGGTTTAGATGCGTTTATAGTTCTGATCAATTAACTTCCATGTGACCTCCCAAATATCAAGCAAGTTAAGAAAATTAGAGGCCTTCTTGCCCATGTGGTCTTAAAAAAACCAAAAACAACAAAAACAAAAAAAAAAACCAAAACCAAAACCACAAACAGACAAAAGGTGTGGTGTTTATATCCCTTGAGATGAACCAATATATCTTGTACATCAAACTGAGTGAATTAATGCATTACATATATTTCTTTCTGGAGGAGCCACTTCAGTGAGGAATGAATGTATAATAGGTATCTTGAAAAATTAGGTTTAGCTGCTAATAATGCACATATCAAGAGGCTTTAAAAAGTGTTATAAATGCCATTAATGAGTATAGGCACCAGACCAGAATATTTATAAATTCAAAACTGGCATGTCACTCAAGACTAATCAATTTAAAGAGGCACTGTGAAAGGTGGTGGTGATGCTGCTATGCAGTAATTACTACTACTGTAGAATGAAATAGTGTTACCTAAATGAATACTTGCTCTACATTAATTTTCTTTAGTTAGACAAGTACAGGAAGTATGCAGAAAAAGTTCTATTAGTCTGTAAAAGGCATTAGTGTTAAGAAATGCAGAGTATTTGCATCTTCAATTTTATAAACTTCACAAAAGGTGCAAATGATTTAATGCTTCCCAGGCTCACATAGGCAGGTCAGTACTGTTATGTCTAGTTTTCCTAGAAGTACCATCATCTCGGGGCAGTGCTTTTTGCAAGCTTGACATAGCAGCAGTTCTTTCAATGTCTATCACAGCATACAGCTCTGTGCGCCTGGTTGGAGTCTGAGGAAGTGGAGTGGTGGGGGTTTTTGGAGTCTGAGGGTTGTCGGAGTCACTGCCACCTTCCAAGTCAACCTGTATGTAGTTGAGCTGCCTGTGTTCTAAGCTTGGACGCCTAATGTCAAAGTTAAAGACTGTTGGGGTACAGTCCCGACGTCGTGAAAATTCTACTTTATGAGCACTTGCTGGTACCGTTACATTCTCTGTATTGACATAATTATGCATTGGATCTAGGTTATTGTGGTAGCCGTTCAGAGATGGGGTCTTTGGTCCTAAACTGTCATCTTCATCTCTACTCAGCTTGCGGGCTTCCCAAACAGGAGGCAAGGATGGCAAGTTCTCATAGTTCAACAGCGCAGTTCTCCTCTGAGCAGAGTTGTTAATGTTCTGGGTGTCTGAGGTACTGGTTGATGTCAAACGACCTCTCCTGACCCCTGAGGCACTAGGGATTGATAACCTATTTATATTTTCATACACCAATTTATTACCAGATGGTGTTTCTCTACGTTCATCACTGTCGTACCCAGTGTCCCATTCAGTGTTGTTTGTGCTGCTGCCGCTAACTTGGTCTCTCCCAAGTTGCTCCAGTTTCTCTCTTTCCATTAACTGCCTTTGAACAGGTGTTGGTCCTAAAACAAACTTGACTCCTTCAGGCTCCAGGAGAACCTGAGCATCTCTGTCATCAGTACACATCTGATCTTCTTTCACTTTAGTTGTTTCAGTGTTTGAAAGCTTTGATTCCAGTGGCACATGCACACTTGATCGATTTTTTCTTTCCTCTTGTACTCCAGTAGTGTTGACATAAGTGTGCACCTTAAAGGGGAAGAAAAAAATAAAAGGAAATTCAAATGCTATTTGCACTACTCCTCTCCCTCCAAATTTCTTTCCTCTCCAACTCCCCACTTTTCTAATCAAAACATCTGAAAACCCAGTCCTGTGACAGCAGCTGTTTAAGAGCAAAGGTCCTCTCTCACACATCTTGCTGCACTGTGCTCAGTTTTGCTTTTTTCCCCCCTGTGACAGTTTAACGTAGCTGGCAGCCAAATAAGACACAGCCACTCGCAGCACCCCCCACCCCCTTCTCCCCACCCAGGGAATCAGGGAGAGAACTGGAGGGGTAAAGGTCAGCAGACTTGTAGGTTGAGTTAAGAACAATTTAATAATTAGAGTAAAATAAAATTAAAATAAGAATAATAAGAGTAATAACGATAACAACTATATATATGCGTGATGCACAGTACAATTGCTCACCACCTGCTGATAACGATCCCAGAAGAGCAAAAAGGAACCCCGCAATCGAAACTGCAATCCCGGAAAAGCGAGCCCGAGCGATTCCCGAGAGAATCCCCCCCTTTCCATTCAGCCCTGGTTAATATACTAAACATGACATAATGTGATATGGAATATCTTATTGGCACATCCAGCTGTCAACTCTGGGTTTTACTAACTACTACACTTTTCTTCTGCACTTCCTCCTTCCAGTCCTCTCTTCTTGGAAACTACCCAAGCGCAGTGTCCTTGTAGATATCTACATTTCTTCTCATAACAATATTCACTGAAACCAAAGCACAGTGCTTTCTAGCTACTAAGAAGAGAATTAACTCTGTCCTAGCAAAAGCCAGGACACCACACATTCAAATTTTGTTGTTGGTTTTGTTAATGTTACTCTAAATAAAATTAGAGTTACTCAAGGCAGACAAAATAATGCAATTTACATCCTACGTTAATAATTATTTTGATTTGATGTTTCATCACAGTTGTGCTCTAGTTACAGCTTTTCAGGTTTTATTCCAGCTGTGCTCTGGTCAGAACAACCTTAGGCTGCTCCAACTTAGCTCATTAATTCACTTGGACAAATCACTGAAGCAGAGCTCTACTTTGTTGTCCCTTACCATGACAGTAACAGTGAACAACAGTTCAATAGTTGCTTTGGCTAAATTTATCTTTAATTTACACACTATAAAGGAAATTTACTGTCCATTTTAAACAAAACAAAACAAAAAACCAAAACAAAACAACAAGCTAGAAAACCCAACAAGCTAGAAAACCCAGGATCTCTCTGTGTGTACTGCTTAAGCAATGAGATGAGAGGGTGGCTCTACTGGCAGAAGAGTCTATTCTTTCTTCAAGAGCCAACAGCTTCCTAATACCAGAAACTGAAACAGACAAACATACATTTCCATAACAACTGTGGCACTCAGAATTAAAAAGAAGCACGAGTTAGACCAGATGCCACTAAGAAAGGTAGGAATATACCACTAGTTTATGCCTCCAACTTCCTGCAGTCAACACAAAGCTGAAATGTAAAGACTGAAGTAATGGACTCTTTCTCTGAACTTTAATTGTGTCTGGATACCCAAACGGCAAAAGTAGTATTTTACAGCAGCAGTCATCTAGCCTTCCCAACTTCTCTATCAAGCTCTACAAGCTCTACACTTCTAAGATTCAAGAGTGCGGGCCATCTTGTCTAGACTGTGCTTAATCCAAGAAACGTTGGACCAGATGATCCCTGAGGTCCCTACCAACGTGGTATTATAAGATTCTATGAAATGTTATTTACAGCTCATTTGACTTCTAAATTGATTCTTTAAACGAGTTTCTTTTCAGTAACTCCAACAACACCACTTCAACTCTTCTTTTCCCACAAGACAGTTCACTGCACTTTTCTCTGGTTATCTTCTCTCATTTCCAACACTGTTTCTTGTCAAGCAGAAGAGTCTTCCTGAATCACTTTACATTTTATTAAACTTGACTAACATTTTCATCAGCAACCTGAATGATGAGATAGAACACAACCACAGAAAGTTTCCAGTCTATTCCAGATTGGTAGGTTTTCCACCGAGAGGGATCTCTGCAGCCTGAAGAAGTGACCACACAGAAACCTCATGAAGCTCTGCCAACAGCAAATGCAAAGTCCAGTGCCTGGCATGGAACACCAACAGTACAGGCTAGGCACCAACTGACTTGAAAACAGCTGTGCAGAAAAGCACCAGGGGTCCAGGTGGACAGCGAATTGAATGTAAGTCAGCAGTGTGCCCTTGCAGCAATGAACATCACATGTGCATTGATTTGTGTTAGCAAAAGCACAGCCAGTAGGTTAAGGAAAGAGATTACTATCAATTCAGCACTTGTGAGACTGAATCTGAAGTAATTGGCTCCCCAGTCCAAGACAGACACCACTATAGGGGAGCAAATCCAGTGGAGGGCCCTGATTAGAGGGGCTGCAGCATGTGACATATGAGGAGAAGCCAAGAGAGCCATCCTTGTCCAGTCTTAAGAGAAGGCCAGGAAAAAACCTGATGTCTGTTTTCAACCACCTAATAGATAAAGAAAAGAAACAGCCAGACAGCCAGACCCTTAGCAAAAGGCTAAGGGGCAACAGACACCAGCTGTAACAGGAAAAAAAATTGATTACATAAGGGAAAAATGCTTTCACAACAAAGGTGGTCCAACACTGGAACACATGGCTCAGAGACACTGTGGCATCTCTTGTTTGGAGTATTCAAAGCATGACAGCACAAGGCTCTGTGCAGCCTCCTCTAACTTTAAAATATGACCTAGAGGCTGCTAGAGGTCCCTTCTAACTTAAATTATTCCATTATTTCTATTCGCCAAACAGAAGACTTACATGTAAAGAAGCTTTTTGATCAGGATCTCTCATTATAAAATACAATTTATTTAACAACAATTACTGAAATTTCTGGAAAGAGTATATGCAAAATACATACTTTCTCTTTATTTGTATATAAATATGAAGGGTGACTTAAAACAGTTACTCTTCTTCAGCCAGCTATGCTACAAAGTGTCATTTTGAAGAGCTAAAGCAAACACTTTTCTGAAGTACTTAACATACAGCAAAAATACATTACATCTGATACTGAAAATCACAAATGAAAGCCTACAGAATAAACTTTAGAAATATCTGAACTAATGTAGAACCTAAAATATATGGGGATGGGGGGGATACCCACTTGCTCCTCTGCTACAAGTAAAGGATGCGTTGATTCTTCACCGACAGAGGGGAGGCGTGCACTTCCGACAGAAGGATGTCTGCTGGAAGGGTGTGATGAAGCATCTCCAAAAGATGGATATCTGGGATAGCCGTTAGGTAAACTTTGTGCATTGAACCCAGGAGCTGATTCAATTAGAAAACAAGCAAAACCATATTAAAATATAATATTTTACTGTATATTAGTAAGATGCTTTGTATCTTCATTTTCAAAAGAGAAATTAAAATACGTAAGACTATTAAGTATTCACAAGACTGAATTTTGCTGGAGGGAAGGAAAGGGAAAGCAAACTGCAGAGTACAGCATCCCAGTATTTACTGGGAAACAAGTCTGAAGCAATCACTGAAGTCTGGGTGTATTACACACCACAGTCCTCCCAGTAAACTCCCTATCCAACTTCTCTTTCTACAATTAACAATATGTCTCCCTAACAAACAGGGACTTATTTACTTAAGCTTCCATTTCTCTGAAATAATCAATCATCTGAAATTCCTAGTTTCAAGTATCAACCCATCTGCCTGGGATTACTTAAAATCCTCTGGAATTTTTGCAAGGACGTAATTCTACCCATCCATCTACTCACAGCCAAAGAAAGATTCCAAACCCACTATAGATGTGATATAACCATTACTTTTTTCCCTAATAAAAAGGCTGGAACATTGCCCAACGTTAATATTTCTCAGAAATGCTACAAGTAAAATAGGGTGATATATTATAAAGCAATTCAGCAGGTATATCCTGAAGCAGTATGCAACAACTAAGTTCTGAAAACTTACTTCTTAAAGCTGAAGGACTTGACTATGGCAGTTTTGCTCCCAACACTTAGGATTCTCTTTTGAGAATCCTCAGCAAGTACCTCAAAAGAATACGTTACTGGTAATTAGCCACTTAGCTGAAAATAGCATTTAATTTGCATTAAATCTTTAAGTAATTAAAAAGAAAACTAATTTAAAGCTAAGTACCACATTACATTCAGGTATGTCATCTGACAGTATAACCACACTTACTGGTAGGCGTTCGAGGGGTTCTTGGAGCTTCCAACTCAGTTTGATGATTATTCCTCTCTACTACTGGTTCTTCTACCACATTTATGCTATTATTCTGCATTATCTCTTGCAACATATTAAATAGCTCCTCTGCACGGGCACATTTAAAGGCAAAGATTCCTATAAATACGCAAGAAAAAAATCAAAATCCTTTAACGTAAGAAACATGCCTTACAGTGTATATAACTTTCAAACAACAGAACGGGAATCCACATAATGCATACCTGTTAAAGAAGCAAAAACGTTAAGAAATTTTTATTGCACCAAAACACACAAAATTACTGAGAACCTTTGAAGTGTTTATCTAATAGGAGAATAAGTTTCCCATGCACCAGAAGTTAAATTAGAACAGAAAATTGATTCAATTAAAAGGAAAACTACATTTCAAGTGCTAAATGAGGGGTTAAAAAAGGGGGGGGAGGGGCACACAAAATAGGGCAAGATTTTTTCTGTTTTTAAACTGATAAAAAGGATACCTGTTAAATAAATAAATAAGTAAAAACACTAAATTAAACTACTGTGGTGCTACAATTCCATATTTTTAAAATCGTATTTCTATTAAATTACCATAAAAATAAGATACCTGCACAACAGGAAAGAAGGATTTGAACACTGGGTAAAAGTTTAATTTCTTTAAGAAGATTAAAATGAAAAGCTAGTAAGACAAACTGTGTGAAACGGACAGTAACAAACCAATTGCTTTAGGCTAAAGGATAGACACAGAACACAAAGTTAGCAGCAATACCATATGTTTTGCGTGTGTATTGTGCCACTTTGCCTTTAAACAGCAGGGAGTGCCCCAACTTACCCTCACAAGCAAAGTCCCAGTTTTGGATTATTCTTCCATTGAAAGCATGAAGTTAAAGTTGACATGCTTGTTAAACGTGGGTGCAGGTGCTCATTTTTTAAAGTGAGTATTACAATCTTAAAACACTCTTTACACTAAAAACTACCTACCTACATAGCTAGTTCTGTAAGTGCTATTATGTTAATATGCTGGCAATTACTATCATCATGTATTTAAAGACACAGAACTGTGACAGATCTGACCCACCAGAAATGCTCCACAGGGCACAAGTTCACAAAAACCTATCTGGGAATATACCAAATGGGCTAAGAGGAATGACACTCAACAACTATATTCAGCTGGTGCAGTGAATAAGCTTCATGCTTGCAGCACAGCAGCTGTAGAGCTTCTGCTACATTTCCTCAGCCCATGATCCAGCTCAAGCACAACAGTCTATGTTTAATTTTTTATATATTTCTGAAAATTCACATTGAATACTTGAATCTTAATGGACAAAAAATAACATCAAAAATCTAGGTTCACAAGCTTTAAAAAGCTCCCAGCATATTTCTGAGAAATTCAGCTACCTTTACCCCTTCAAAAAAGGTCCTTCCAAATTGCTCATTCCTAAAAATATAAGGTGAACTGAATTGGCATGGAAATTGCAACCAAAACCAACTTGATGAAGCCTTGATTTTTACTGAATACATTCACATTAAATACAATGTGATCTGTCACTTACACAATATGGTGACACACTAACTCCTCCAAGTTTTCTATCCTAAATTATCTACTAGCTGTTCTCCCAAACCATGTCTTCAAGGTTTTTAATACCTAGCACAAACTCAATGTTTTGCCATCAGTGCATTCTGACAACTTATCAATAGACATAATTTAAGATCAAATGGAAAACACAGACAAGAATACAAATGAAATCAGTAAAAGTTGCTGGGCAGTATTCAAATGAAAAACTTCTTGGTCAGCTCACCAAGTAAAGACCAAGTTTTGCAACTGTGCCCACAAAACCCAGCGTAGGTCTCGAGAACAATGCTGCATTGCAAAAAGGCAGCAGAGAGAACATTTTCTGCCAGATTTCTTTTTTCTCACTATTCACAATATTTTAATAGTACCTAAGGATGGCAAGAGACAAAAGAGGGAGGAAAGGGTTGCTAAGTTAATTAGATTCGGTGGAAAATTTTGCAGACTTGCTAATAGGCCGTGGAAAAGAACCTTCAAAATAGTATTTGCAATTGAATTCTATTAGTATCTATTTTACAAGTTTAGAAGGAGTAAATTAAACCTGCAAAATAAAGTTATTTTCTTCAAAATAAAGTTTATTACTTTCTTTTCAGAAGTCTGAAAATTTAGTTTAGTATAGAGTACACTGTAACATTTGAAAACATCTCCACTCCCTCAGGAATGGAGGGACATGAACTCAGAATGCCTTCTAAACTCTTTATCAAAAAAACCCTGTCTACTCTTACCTCTGCTTGGACAATGAAGACTGACCAACTTTGTTTATGATCAAGCTCTTTCATCTTCCTTATTTTTTTACAGTGATTTTTTTTTTTGAATTGCAATTGCTAAATATCATTATTGATAAAAACACCAGTAAATGCTAAAAGTCTGTGAGAAAACAAAAATGAGACCTAATTTCACAGCGTATGAATACGTAAGAATTCCAGCTACACACAAGCTACCTCACAGTCAGAAAGGTGCAAAATGAGGCTGAGACCTCAACCGAAACAGCTACTCCCTTGGGCACGGCTGCAGTGAAGACTGAGAAAAAAGCCTAAATCTTCTCACTGGGAGCCAGCCTTGGCCAAGGCAGGCATGATCTGGGAACTGGAAAGGTAACTGTCTTTGTCCAATTAAAGTCACACAGAAAATAACTGAGCATGGCTGAAGTTTACACACTTCATACAAAAATGTGTCAAAATTTGAGAATTATGTCACTGATACAAATCAAAGTGGTATTTGTTTTAGGAAAAGGTTTAAACACAAGTGTGTTACTGAAGACAATAATAGGGTAGGGATATCCAGTTCAAACCAGTGCTCCAGTCTTTTAAAATCTAAAAATAGATAATTCTTTGAATTCTGAGGAGATTCCTCCACAGTTCCAGGTTTCACTGCCCCTCATTGAAAGTCAAGTCAACCTCTGAGGTAGGAGAATTTCCCTGTCAAAACCACCTCCTAATGTGACCAGAAGTATTCACACATACAAGCATGAAGTACTCCAGACCTATAATGCTAAAAACCATGTGCAGCTCAGATCCTCATTTTACCCTAAGACCATTCCTCATAAGGTAACTCACTTTTTTTTCCAGAAACCAGTTTTATATTCACATATAAAACTACAGCCTTTACAAACCTTGCCAAAAGACAGGAAAATACACTTTTTTTAAACAAAATTGTCTTCCATTATCAAATAAATTTCTGAAAAACTTTATATACAAAAATTCCACATACCTTGTCCAGTTTGACACCTTCGGCCACTTTCAAAAGAGAAAAGATTTGAGTCATAGCCGTAACGACGGAGACAGAGGTAGTGCCATTTTACAGAGTCCCTTTTACGGGTGTACAAAATTAGTTCTGTATCTGTAAGTTCCATTATGCCAGAACCCAGTTCATTACCATCATCATCCACATTAATAACCTACAAAAAGGAAGTTAAATAGCATTAGGTAAGAACTCTTCTGAGCACCAATACTACTAATAATAATCCTAATGTTTCACTGATGCACTCCATCTGCTCTGTCATATTAGCTATGATCCTTGAGGTAAAAGTTTGGTTTTTTTTAAAAAAAAACACCTCACCAAATCAGTTCCTTTGCTCTCCAACCCAGAATTTAAATAATACATATTTAAAAGCAACATGAATGAGACTGCATAACATTATTGCAAAATCTGAGAAATTTTACAATATTTTACAACATTATCTGTAAAATCTGAGAAATTTAAACCAGAAGAGATTCGTAAGCTAAATATTTTTTAAAAAACTGGTTTTATGTACATATTCTAGTATTTCCACACAGATAAGGCACACCTCAGATAATGGAATCTTTCAGAGCCCCGTTTCTAAAAAAAAAAAGTATTTGCTTTGTCATATAACACCACTTACAGTTGGGAAAAGGAATGAGAAAGGATAAGAGGCTCCAAGATAAAGCTTCCTTCACATACCTGTACAGCCTTGCACTGTGCTGAGTCACCAGACTGTTATAGGGGTTTTTTTTCTGCCCTTTTAAAGTCAAAAGATAATTCAAATACCCTATGGTCATCTTGCGTGAAAATGTGTATAAACCTAAACTCTTATTCTTTCTGGTTTTAAATCAATTTGAGGTCATCTGCAACCTTTATGGAATTCAGACAACGCATATTTTCCTCTGCATGTATTTTATCTCACAGTGCTGCTTTTAGTGGGATTCTTTCTTACTCAATAAAAAGGCTACCAAAAAATCTTCCCTATGCTATCAATTAATGTTACTCCTTAAAGAGACATTTTCAACTTGAAATCTAGTCAATTGAAAAGAGCTAGGAATAGTTTCATCTGACACTGAGGCTTATGCCAACTTTCTTCATTTTGCAAATTACATTCTTTCATCTTCTCCCTCTGCTGCTAAATCAGTGACCCACAGAAACAATAGAGAAATTCTACAGGGAGAAAAATAGGAACTAGTTACACAAAGTGATGTCAAATGCATAAAAAGCAAGAAAACAGAGAAATATTTTCTCTTTCAGCTTTTTGTACTGATAATATTAAACGTTCCCAGAAATTCCCATGGCTTTAAAGCTCATTTCAGTGTTGCCCTATGGCAACGCATGAATCATTTTTCACTATGGAAGCATTACATTCCTTTGCCAACTCACAGAGACAGTTTGGAGCACAGAAGCAAATATGACTGGTGCGACTACGCAAAGGTATGTTTACTTAAAGTCACCGACTTCAGCAGCTTCACGTTAAGCACGCGAACAAGCGTTCACAAGCATATAAATTCCAGTGATATAAGGACCAGAAGCACGTTTATAAATATAATTTCTTCAAGTAAAGGACAAAAGTTCTCAGAAAGTTCTCAATTAGTGATCTGAAGATCACTGATCAATAGTGATCTTCAAGTAAAATCAGCAGTCCTAGAATTTTCCATTGCTCACCCCGCATCCAGGTTCATAGTCACACTTCTCCAATAGCACTTCCCTTATGCTTACGACTCCTTTCCTACCTTCCCAGGGGTAACAATGCTTACTTCGGCCCTACTGACTGAAACAGAGGTGGATCAAAAGCACAGGGCTGCTTCTCCTTCCTGAAGATCAAAACTGTCATAAAAAAGCCTACCCTACCTAGAGAGTTCTCATCACTGCTGGTAAGAGAGGACTTCTCAAAGGGGCAAGAGAAACCTGTAGCCACAGACACCTGCAACTCTGCAGTGTTTTAATTCTCACTCTATTTTCATTTAAATTTTTTCCATCACAGACCTACTGTGCAAGAAAGCAAGAAAATAATTCACAGCATACCACATCAGTTGCTTACCTTAAACTTGTTTCGATGGTTATCTGGCACAGTTTCTTTATCTGGACAGCTACAACAGCTACCCATGACTTCTTTAGAAGACCATGTGATCTCTAAAGGGGAAAAAACCCAAAACACAAAATTATCATTTAGTTGAAGTAAAAAAATAGAGTATCATCAACAAAACAATCCAGCATAAATTGCTCCCTGAAATTACAATTCTTCATAATTAATTTTGCAGTTATAAGTAATTAAAAAATCAACATAAATATTACAAATATTCTTAAATAGTTAAGCTAGATTTAGTATTAAGGAGTGGCAACATTGAGCTGTTAAAGTCCTACCAATAATTCAACATGAGGTTACTACCAAACAGACCCATTTGATTTGTCGCCTTAATTCCCATGGTAGCAGCTTGGGGGAAAACAAAAAACCAACAACTTACTGGGTGCAATCCTCATCTCCTAAACCAGGGCCTTTACACAAGGCAACTACCTGGATTCCAGTTCTGCCTAAATGAGCACTCCCCGGCTTTTACTGCTGAGCACAGCCCTCCTGACGCCCACACAAGCCCTGGGCTGTAGGAGGTTACCAGGCGCAGGCAACACAGGGAGCCCCCATGGCAATGATCTGATCCTGAAAGGCCGCCCTGGCAATGGACGGTGGAGGCGTTCCAGGCCTGTAGGCAGCCAGCCCTGCGCTGGCAGCCGAGCAGTGAGGCTCTGTGCTTCCACTTTAAACACTTCCCATACAGCAGTGTACACAGAACTATGTAATCGAAGTCAGGGCAAGGAAAAAACACCATATTCAACACAAATATTGTAAAACTTGTTTTTTATTTCTATTAAGTTCTGTTTGGATTAGATTGTGTTACAGTCTACTGCATTTGCTGTAAAACAGTAAAATATTCAGGTAAAACAGCATGGCTAAATTAAGGAAACTAAAAATAAGTAGTTGATATTTTTTGCTATTTTAATTTAAAGATTTTTGTATGTATGGTAAAACTTTCATAAAACAGTATGATAAAATGTTCATAGAACCAAACTGCAACTTGTTTCTTCTCCCTCTACTACCCCAGTGGTAAGTCTCTTATTTCTTAATACAAGAAAGTCAGACAAAAGAAAACTTAACCCATTTACATCACCTTTATATTGGATAAGAACTAAAATTTCCACTATACAAAGAGGGGAAAAATCCTGGAAGAGAACTAGTAAGTCAACGAGAGATCTGACACTAGTAATCAAGAATGAGGAAGACACCTGGCTGATAACTTTTGCTGACCAAAGGGGAAAAAAAAAAATCTGATGTCACTGTCACAGATGGAGTGAGACATACACTTCACTCCTGGGAGAGAAGCAGCTATGTGATTTATTAATATAACAATGAGTTAACAAAGTTCAATAGTAAATGGGACAGTGGTTTAACAAGATTAGGTGGCGAGGTACATTAGGTTATTTACTGCAAAGATGACAGGGTCAGACAGAACTGCCAGGGAGACCCTCCCATTGAGTGATGAGGTTCAGAAAGGACGTTCTTGCTTTCTAAACTCCTTCCAAGAGAGTCTTCTAGGTGGAGCTGGATCCAACTGTGGTCATACAGCCCCCTCAGGCCACCCTGCAACCTCAGAATAAGCCAAGATTGTGTTCCTGCTTCAGTTACAGGTGCAGCGAGTTGGGACAATCAGGCACTCACTAACTGTACCCAAAACACCTGCTGCCCAATGTGGTAGGTACTAGAACTGTACAATCTGGAAAACACTGGAATTGTATGGTTGCTGGGATATCAGAATTACCTAATGCGAGTTGTGGCCAAAACAAAAGAAAGGGGAATGACTAAAGCCAATCTTCTCACAATCCTACAAACAGAGGTTCCACGGGAGACCCTTTGAGCTCTCCTGGGCCACAGTGGGCTGCAACCACCATCTCCCTCCGAGTGGGACGCCTCTCAGAGCTCATGAACTCTTCAGTTTGTGAAACTTGGGAGCACCATCGCTGAAAAACGATGATGGGACCTGGGCTGGAACCCTTCACCCCTTGAGGTTCAACCCTGGCCTGCAGAGAAACACCAAGACATTTGAAGTGAGTATTTCACTGAACTCGAGAGGAATTTTTAATATGTATATCCTCATATACACATTCTGTATCTCTGTATCTATACCTATACCTCTATTACCTATATTTATATCTGTATCTGTGTGTGCATATATGGCTTAATAAATTTTATCTTGTTGATTACAACCATCTGATTATCAATAAGTATGTTAGAAAATCATATAATCTAATCTTATGATTTATTATAATAGTATTAATGACCTTTAAATTACTGTTACTTTATCATAATAGTGTTTGTGAAGCTCAAATTACTACTACCTCAAAGTTTTATTAAGCACATAATCACATGTTAAATCACTACACCGAGACTCCTACACCTAATCCCTTTAGTCATAAACAGTTGTCCAAGTCTGGGACTAGAAGTGGATTCAGCCACACCCAGACTCTCTGGGAAGGAGTTTAGAAAGCAAGTGGGTCCTTTTGGAACCTCATGACTCGAGGGGAGGTCCTTCCTTATCCTCCTTCCCTGATCCCTATATAAATCACTCAAACACGACTCTGATTCAACTTCCCCAATCCACAAATAAGTCATTTTAATCCAATTCTAATTTGATTCCTCTTTTGCATGCTTTTTCTATGTAATAAGTAATAGAGTGAACCTTATTATCGAACTCTGTTAAGTTGCAGTTTTCTACAAATTCATATTAAAATCAGCTTTCTCTAACATCTTTTAACGGTGATTCTTAAAGCAACCTTAAGTCCTTCCACTTCCATGCAGGACACCAACCCTAGCCCCAGACTTGGACTCGTCACACGCTACCTCATGACAGTCAATTCATCTCACCCTCACAGAGCAGTGGTACAGTCACCTCTTGCCTCTCTGCCATAAACAGCACATTGATAGCTTGGGTGCTTATAAATCCATGGTCAGTAGATAGTGAAGCACTGGTATTTGTTATGTGTTCGTAGATTTTAGGTGTTTGAAGTTGGGTTATTTATCATATACCAAACCTTTACACACAATATAATTATAAGCAATAAACATTAGAGCCAGCAAAATCACAACTGAGTGAAGCATACAATTAAACACTCCTGTTGCTGCTGGTGACCATCCAAGAAGCGTTTCCCACCAATGATATTCTGCATTCTTAACTCTTTTCAAGGCATAGTGTATATCTTCTGTATCATGATAAATGGTGATCACAGTTTTGTGTGCACTGTTTCGGATGTGTTCTAGTAGTTGATACAGGTCATTGTGTTGTACTAGTTTCTTCACCAACATAAGATTCATTCCCATGGGGGCAGGCAATAAATCTCAAGTCAATGTATAATTAAATCGTAAAAACTGACAAGACGCAACAGGAGTTGAATAAAAGTTGTATCCCATAACTTTACTAAGGTTACAAACACAAATATTTGAGTGATTGCTTCTAACTACAGTAATGTTATCTATCAATATAAAATCACAAAGGGTTCTCAACAAACACATCCTTTTCCAATATTATTATTGCTGCTGCCATAGACTGCACCCACCATTGAGCGTGTATACAACTCAGAGCCGCACCAAGCGCACCCACAATCAATTGGTGGTCCCTTTCATTCTTTCCCACTGAGGCAATACATCAGGTAAGAGCCATCGGTTTGTTCCCAATGCTAATAGAGAAGAACGCAATGGGTGTTCTAATTTGTTTAAATCACTTGTTGTTGTGCTCAGTTTAAATAATATAGACGCCAAAGTACTCGTCAGTAAGGCTCCCAATAGGACATGCCTAGGAATGGAGAACAGGTCGGTTTGATTGTATTTGCATCAATAGTTCTACTCATTAAAGACACCGCGATGGATGAAATAACACAGATGAAATAACACTCGTCATTGGCCCGTGTTTTGATCACATACAGTCCAATTTCAGAAATTTGTGGGGATAGAGTTTCCTTATCCTTTACAATTGGGGTGGATGTTGTTGTATTAGGCTCAGTAATATCTGTTTTACATTTAAACAATAGTCCCACACTATGGTGAGCCCAGAGGCAGGCTACAAAAACAGGCTGTACCAAGGTAAAATTTTACAAACAATCCTGTCTCTCAGAGGTGCAAGTTTTTGTATCTTTTGCTGTTGGGTTCAATGTTATGCTGTATACAGAAATCTGAGATGCTTTCTTATGGGCAGACCCATTGATCATCCGTCATCCTACTTTAACTTCTTTGCCTGCTGTTCCTGAAGCTGGGAACCTTATCATTAGCTTCATCTTTATACCAGCTCATTTTCAAAGTGTATTTAAGTTCTGTACATGACCACAGTAGAAACCTTTAAATCTCCCTTCCTAGTGTGTATTCTCATACTCCAAATCAATACCACTCAGGATTTAAGGCTATTTTTCTAATTTCAATTAGTACATCTACCTTTTGATTCCACTTTATGGATCACTGACTATCCTTAGCATGAGCTTCTACCCATCTCATGTTGAAAGGTGTTTTCTGGCTCTATCTCGTAATAATCACCAAGCTTTGTTTCTCCAAACTGAGGATCTATTTACTTCCCAATTCAAGGCTTCCCATTGACAGAGCCACTATGTGGCACCAGCCCACATGCTGAGTCTACATACATGATTTTTGCTTCATTCTGTGCTGCTAGAACAGCCACTCTTATTTCTCCTACTTGTGCACTGCCTTCCCTTCTTCTATTACTTGTTTGCTGGTGGTAATATCTAATGCAACAGCCTTATATTGTCATTTACCACTCACACTTTTTGCTGAAGCATCCGTAAAACAAATGCTTTCTGTTGGTGTACCCTCAGTGAGGGGCAACAGATCCAGAATGGGTGAAGGCTTAAAAGGTTATTGTACGCTAAAAGGTCTGCGTTTATGGGCATCTGCAATTTGGAAACCTCACTGTGTTAACTGTTTATTTTCTGCAACTCCTGTTAGGTAGGCATACCATCTGTGGGATAGTGGGATCTATCATACCATCTGATAGTGGGACTTGTGCAACTCCTTCTGGTGAATAGTCCCCTTTAGGATTGCTTCCAATGGTCCTCTGGTTTGCACAGGTTGTCCCCGATGTATTTTCTCAACTTGTATAACTGCTCAGACTAAAGATAAAAGTCCCTTCTGCCATTCAGGATACTGTTGTTCTGTTTCTTTAAATGCAGTGGAGCTGAACAACTGAGGTCTTTTTGGCCCATTGTGGCTAGTGTGGAACAGGTTACAGTAAGCAGCACTTTGAGCAAACCCCCTTTCGGCTGTAACAGGGTTGCAGAGGTGTACTGGTCCCAGTAACTCGTATGTGTTTAGTTCTTCAGTTAAGAGTTTCTGCTGCCTCTTAATGTTCTAGTTTCCACTCCCAGAGTTTGCCTTTCTGCAAGAGTGAGTATGATGGCCAGAAAAAGATAGAAAATCCAGGTATGTGCTTCCTCCAATAACCTGAAGTTCTGATTATTTGGGGGCATTTGCAGTTCTTCTGTTTTTCTTAAGGTATCTGGAGGAAATCACTGCACTGCCCGCTATCCACCAAGTACCAAAAAATTTTACTCCTTTATGTGGTCCCTGACATTTTCCTTCTGGAATCTCGATTTCCAAGAGTCTTCTAGGTGAGTCTGGATCCAACCCTAGTCCCAGACTTGGTCAACAGTTTACATCTGAAGAATTCTATGTCAGCACAGTCAATCCTTTTTATCTCTTAGCTAAGATTTCAACTTTTAGCATGCTATTAGCTGCTTACCAAGAATCTGTTGCAGCAAGGAATCTCCAGATCTGAAGGAGTAACCTTGAGAGGCGTCCCTACTCAAGGGGAGATCATGGCCTGCACCCCAACTATGGTTTCAGAAGAGCTCATCGGGCCTTGGGTTGTCCACTATTTACAGAGTAAGATGATTGACTTGTAGTCATATTTGCATACTGGCAAGACATCTGGGTCCTGTTCCAGACAGCCCTTGGCTACCATGTTGCCATCCGTCCCCCAAGGTCCAGTACAAACTGGATGCAGCCATCACAACCCCCAGCGATGGTTACGGCTTAAGCATGGGTGGGAGGCGGAAAGCCCACTGACACAAGGTGAAATGGAGAACTTAACATAAAAGGTAACAACATGACTTGGATTAATCCAATAAGAAAGGGGCAGAATGCAAGACAGTCAAAATCATGGATTCTCTAATGTCATTTCTGGACATAACATAAAAACATGCATTCATTTGGCAGAACTTTTTTCCCAACTCAACATGAAACTGAGGGATTGGTTGGTTGCTTCTACTGTTGCAGAGAGAAGCTATGCTACACACAACTGGTTTTTTGCACAGTGAAGTCCTGAATTTTATTAATCAGGGCAATCACTCTCTCAGTTGCAGGCTGCTTTTAATAGTCTTTGCATATACATCCCATTGCTATTTTAACTATTCCGTGTTTTTGCTTATGAATTCTGCCCGTTTTGTTTAGACAGGGAGATACAGGTAGCAACACCTATAACTAATGTCCTACCCTAGCACCCCACAATGCCTCACTACAGGAACGTTCAGGTGTTGATCTTGTTAGCCTACTGATGCTACCCTATTTATTCTGAGAATTCACTGCTAAAAGGAGCAACAGGTGACAAGAGCTGCAATGCAGATTAGCAGTAAATATATAAATTTGCAGCAAAGGTTTTCAAGCTCTGGTCTATTCAGCAGTCATAGTTGTAGATGCTTCTAGCAGCCTGCAGGCACAGATGTTTGCACTCAATAAAGCCCAGTCTTAGACCTCCCCAGACGTTTTGACAAAGTGGAACAGAACTAGATAGCAGTATGCTGTTATACTGTCATGACTTTCTTTGCATTCAGCATAAAACAACTGATCAAATCTATTGGAGGCAGGTGCCTGCAAACTTAAAAAAACAATTTTAAAAACCTTAACTGCAAAGCTGTTTAGGAAAAATCATTAGAGTTGCAAGCAGAAAGCTGTAGTGTATGAAGACATATGAAGTATAGCCACTGTATCTCAAGAATGACAAAGAAAAGGTACATAATCAGTAATACAAACAAGTTCCTTATCTCCAATATACTCTAACATTAATACTTCAGAAAACCAAAAACTGCAGTGCTGCTTCAAAGGAGAGATGTGAACCAAAGCTATGAGGAAGAAATGAAACAGTTAGGGGACTGGCAGAATTAAAAAACACTCACCTAGATTTGGCCATTAATATTCCCAGCCTCTGCTGCAGCATCAGGGCTTCTGTCATACTCAAAGCATCATGCTGTCTTGTCACAGAACCAATCATTTGGCCTAGAACTAGAAGAGTACATAAAAATGTTTTTTTTCTTGTTTTTAAGATTCCAGTTAGTAAACCAACCAAAATACATACTTTTTTTTTTTTTTTGGCAGTGTTATGTCAAGTGAGGTCTTCAGTTACCTAAGAATAACTCTTAAATGATCTGACAGAGGTTTGAATGGATAAAAGAAAGTGCACAAATTTACAGGACCTAACTTCTTTTAAACTTAAAGCAATAACAAAATTCTCCAAGCAGTTGTTTCCAATTACAAGTTGGCTATTTACTCTGTTTGGGATTTTCTTAAATGTTCCCAGATTGCAAAATATTTACCCAAACTTAAACATACAAGGAGAAGTAGACATTTTCACAGTCACAACCCTAAAAGTTAATCTTTTCAGTTATGTCTACAATGTCAAATTTAGGAGCTGCAATTTCCCGTTCATGAAGCATCAGTGGCGGTTGGGTGCAGTCATGCAAGGAGGGGGAAAGGGACTGAGAGTATTTTCTGCTTCTTCCTAGCACATTCATTACTGCACTGCAAGATAAAAATCCCAGGCAAGACAAACCAGGACCAGCACTGATGCAAACCTTGTTAACAGGACTGAAAGTTAGGAACTGCTATAACTTCACTAAGATTCATTACTTGGCTTTGTAAAGTAAAACATGTCTCTCTCCCTCATAGACTAAGCAGGGGCGACAAGTTATGCTAGTATCTCAAAAGTCAATGAAGATAAGGCATCAGTGTAAAAACCGTAGATATGGGTCTGGGGTTTTTTTGTTTTATAAAAAAAGAAGTCACAGGCAAAAGTTTGTAGAAATTCTAACGTTTGCAATTCTGCAATCTCCTTGAGCTGGGAATGGTCGGCACAACACATGAGTTCCCCCCCCTTTTGCAAGAAAGGTCACATGGACAAGCTGCAACCCTGTTCCTCCTTTTGCTCATGATCACTGGTCGCCCCATTACAGTCAACTCACAGATACAAAGCCAATCTAAAAACCAGCATTAACTTAGTTCTGCGTGCTCTGGTTGCAGAATCAACCATTAACTTCGGGGAATATTTTCTGTATACATTAATTCCTAGGACACACCTTCTAAAAATCAGGGAAGGGAAAACTCCAACCCATAGCAAAAGTGCCTTGCCTGTAAAAACGATCTTTTGCATATATTCTTTTCAAATGAAAAAGTGGCCTTTCAAACCACTGGCTGCCACAGTGCTAGATCCTCTGTATGTCTTGCTCTCAGACCTACACGCAGAGAGCAGAAAACATAACTAAAGTGCATTAACTTAATTTAAAGGCATTTTATACCACAAAACTGTAGTTTAAAAAAAATACATACGTACAGACTAGACCTTTTTCCTGCTTCAGGAATTTTAATATCTAGAAAGCCCAATGAATACAATGGAGTAACAGGAGAAAGGTGTCTGCGTACAGGTTGTTAGCACTCATGCTGACAAGCACTTCAAACTATTTATTCATCAAGCATATTGTCAAGCACTTGATAATATTTTGATCACAGCTAAGTCATATACGCACATACTTGTACCATCATTTTACCTATAACATTCTAAATTGCCCAATTCCGAAGACTACATCTATTTTTAAATTTAAAGTGTCAGCATTGATCATTTTCAGACTGCTGCTTGTTTGACCTATCCTATTTAAAAATAAATAAATAAATAAATAAATGGACATCATCTCAACCACTAGAACAGCAAACTCCTCTGCATTTTTATTTCCTACTATTTAAAATATTTACTTTAAAAGGTAGAGTAGAAAGAAGTACTACCAAACTATCAATATATAACATCAATTTGTGTGGAAATAAAGTGGTTATGCTAAAAAACAAACTAACAGAAGTGCCCTGAGTTTTGGAGGTATATTAAAATTGCAAACTCACTGACAGATGGATAAATCAAAATTGGGAGTATTTAACTTTTTTCATTCATTTCTTTAAAGAATTCTATTTAGCATAGTGAGTAGAATAAAATATTTCAAATTGTTAATTATTTTTAAAACTTGAAGTTGCCTGGCACTTCATATTTCTTTTCTTCAATAACAACACAAGGATGTAACCTTCATAGTTTAAACTCTGCCACTTCCTAGAATACATTTCTCGAAATGGGTTCCATAACCATTGTAAAGTGTTAGCCATGGTTTACCTAAACCTGAAACATGTTAGCCACTGTACTTTATACCAACACTGAAATCAATCATTACGAAAGCTTAAAAATTAAGTACATTTAAAATTTTTCTCAGCTGCACCAGCACTGTAATATTTGAGTATTTCAGAACTACAGAATTGAGTTCTCACAGCTGTTTACTACCAAAGAACGCACAAAAAGACTATATTCAATTTCAAATTTTATTGAAAAATAAAAAAAAAACTCTTTAAATGCAAGTTACATGAATGGTGTCAACACCTGCTTCTTTCTTAACTTCAGAATTAATGCTCAGATCAATCAAGTAAACAAACAAAAAAATTGAAGTAAGTTGTACTTGACAGCTTCAGGAGAAATCCTTGTGAAGTTTTTGAAAAGGAAAAGCCCAGTATTCAGGAGGAGAGTGGAGGGAACAGATTATGTAGTGATTATCATCTGTACCAAGACTAGGAACGTTTCAGTATCATAGCTGCCTTCTATGAAATAATTTCAAGTTATTGTTTAGGGGATAGTCAGAATGACAAACATTTATTTATTTAAAAAAAAAAAATCTTGGATATTTTCAAATTAACTTTTTCCAACTGTTCTTTTAGCTGCAGAGTTTTCTTTGCTAGCTCTTTTCAATAATAGTGACAAAGCAGGAGACTAACCATTCATTTTCCTCTCCATTTTGGGTCCTCTTTAAAAGTTAAAGTTATTTGGGAATGTGAAATAATGTAAGAAAAGACAACTGTTACTTAAAAAAGCAAGCTATTTTGCTAAAACCAGTGCTTGAGGGAGTAAGTGGTTAGCAAGTTTCTCCCTAAGTTCTTCAAACTTCGAAAGAATGGACTCTACAAGCTATTTCAAATGCAAATTGTGCCATGTTTCAACTTACATGTACCATGTAAAAGACACTATCACAAAAAGAAACATTTTTAACTTGCACATGACTCTCGCTCCTAGGGTCATCAATGTTGAACACTTCTCATAATGAAGCATTCCCATCTCCAGAATAACTTTCAATAGCCCACACAATAGAAATATAGAAGTTTACTTCAACACCTAACAAAAATGGTATCTTTCACAGAAATCTTTCCGGTCAGTCTCACCTCAGTGCCAGGCAAGA